GAGCCCATGAATGCAGCTCTCAGCTTTTTCAGGTAACAGTGTCTCTGAAGCACTCCCAGTGCCTGTAACAAGCAAAAGTCTTTGCTGAGGGACTGAACTAAGGATTTTTGCATGGCATTATGGAGTGGTAACCTTGCAAGCATTGGGCCAGTCAGAATGTGACATTCCCTCATTAAATCTACAGTAATTAAAATGTCATTAGTTAATTAATTAGTCAAATGATTACAAATACACCTCTACCTCGATATAACGCTGTCCTCGGGAGCCAAAAATTCTTACCGTGTTATAGGTGAAACTGTGTTATATTGAACTTGCTTTGATCTGCCGGAGTGCACAGCCCCGCCCCCCGGAGCACTGCTTTACCGTGTTCTATCAGAATTCGGTTTATATCGGGTCGCATTATATTGGGGTAGAGGTGTCCTGAATGTAATTTGTGGAATGTTGAAACTGGACTAAGAATCAAACTCAAGTCATGTAGGCCGCCAGTAACCATCGGATGGTAACTTTAGATCATCACTGACTTGAATCAGCAACCTAGGACAAAGGCTGTGTATCCTCTACCTTATCCCTTGAACAATCTGATTTGTCCTAATTCAGATGTCTTATTAAATGCAGGTTTTATTTGGAGAGGTAAAATTACCAAGTGTTTGTATTCATTCACAATGCTTTAGATAAGTAAATAATGTGAGTGGTGTTTTAGAGTATTAGTCAAATGCTTCCAAAAAATTTGTTCTAAGCACAAATTAAAAAAAAAAAGGTTTTAAAATGGCTTTGAAGCTAGAACACTTTAAAATCATATACAATATTAGTAAAAAGACCTTTGTTCCTATTCAGTCAAGAATGGGTATTAAATATTTGTTCAGGGCTGGATGTCTAATCATGACTTTGACTTGGCCTTGATCTTTATTTAGCTACTCAGCTACTCAGTTTATATTCTGCAGGGACATTGGCCATACTAGAGGACCATCCAAAGGTCAGAGAGTTGGCTCTTGGCAGTTGACTGCTCCTTCACCAGCCAAAATCTATTACTGCACAAATGGAAATCCCCAGTTCATCTGCAGACACATGTTTCATCAAATTTCGGGATGGTAAAATTTTAACAAAGATGCAAAGAATAGTATGTAAACAAGTAGCTTTATTTCCAGTTGCCTGTACAGTACAAGGAGTCTTCAGCTGGAAAATGGAAAGTTAAAAAAAAAAATCTGATGAAGTTATAAATATAAAATTGAAACTATATTTAGCCAAGGGACCTCCAACTTTGGCCAATGAAGGGCTCCAGTGGCAACTTGCCAGGAGCCTGAGGGCTATACCTCATTTTTGTAAAGATATGCAGAGTTCATCGTCCCCCATGTAAAACACAGAGGTGTTAGACCACAAAGAGTACAGGACTGAGTATGGAATGAGAACTATAATCTCAATTATTATTAGTCATATGTACGTTAAAGTAGTTTCTGGAGGTCCCAGCCAAGTTCAGGTCACATTGTGCGAAATTCCACATATACACATAGTAAGACAGTCCCTGACCTAAAAAAGTTACACTGACTAGACAAGACAAAGGATGGAAGGGGAAACAGACGCACAGAGAGGCAGTGACTCCATGTGCGGCACTTTTGTCTTGTAGATCAAGCCACAAGATCACTCTGTGATCCTCTCTTTAGCCTTTTCAAAATACTGTCCTAGGGAGACCACTTCTTCATAGAAAATAAAATGTTTACTACAGTTTTTGTAATTTTCTAGCGCCATGAGTAGGAAGACTCACCTGGAAAAGAATGACAACATCTCCTCCAGGTCTTGCAAACTGGTGGGCTCCATTTTGCCTGAGAAAGAGTTCCAGAACCAGATGAGACCCAGAGAACCAACATGAGACATGGTATGAGCAGCCATGGTAAGTGCATTCTCTGGTGGAGAGAACACTTGTGTAGAAATTAAAGCTTCCAGTCTGCTGTTTTGACATACCACTCCTTTTTGGAGATAGGAAGGTTTTTTCAGGATCCGTGGGATGTCTTGATAACCAGAGGGTTGAAACTGTGAAAAGATTTTAATGAACTTCAGGCTGTATTTATCACAGAACTGAAGTGCTAGAACAGGACAACAGTCTGGGAAATGAATGACTGAGACTCTTGCAGCTAACTGTACTAGATCCCAGTTATGGAGATTAAAATAATAAAAATAATTGCAATTCTCAATTTCCGGAAAGAAGCTACTACTCCTGACATGAGTTTCTCTTGGTGGTGATGATGCTGAAGGGAAGAACTTTAGTGGGGGTACAGATCCTGAGAGAAGACCACCGATTCTGTTGGTGGGCACGTGGGACATGCAGGTATGTAATCTTGTAAATCTAGATAGTTCCCCAGCCTGTTGGCCAGGATGCCCATGCAGCCAGATGCAATTTGGAACTTCCAAGGAAGACATAAGTCTTATCGGTTCAGAGTGAGGATAGAAGAGTTTCCTAGTGTTTATTTTATATATATAGATATATATATATATATATATAGATATAGATATAGATATATATATATTGCCACTCCTTAACTTGAAAGAGTTTGGCCAAGCATCTTCCTACTTGTGTTCTTCTTGTATTGTCCTCTTTCCTATTGTGTGATAGTTGGGAGGGTTAACTTTGGAGTTCTTAATTATGTGTGATCTGAACTTGTGGTATGAAGATTCCACAGAGGTCCTGATCCAAAACCCACTGAATGGGAATCTGTTGACTTCAGTAGTCTTTGGATTAGGCCCAAAGTCTGTAAAGTCTTCACCTCCCTGGTGCCATTGTGGCTGAGGAACATTGGTGTGGCCAGGGGAATTTCCTTGTATTTCACTTATCCCTGGTTGCCATATCAGCCCCTTAGGGCTGCCAGCAGTAAGCAGACTGGCCCAACATAGAGTTGGCAGTGGATCAGAGGAATGTAAAGGCCACCTTTTCACCTCCCATTTCTGAACTGTTGTGCACTCCTTGGCTGGAACTGAGGATCTTGACCTCTGAATTTATATAGTGTCTTTCATATAAGATTCTCAAAACATTTAAAAAATATTAATGAATGGAGTCTCACAACACTTCAGTACAGTGGGAAGAATTCTTACTCCATTTTACAATGTGTAAATTGAGGCACACATATCTAAAGTGGCTCACTGAAAGTCACAGAATGAGCCTGTGGCAAAGCCAGGACTAGAACCCAAGGCTTAGTCCTAGTGCTGTGTTCTGACCAGGAGACTATGCTCCCTCCCTCAGCCTGGTTCATAGAGCACATTACTTACTATTATCTCTCAAAAAAGCTCAGTATCTAAAACTGTAGTGTTGTTACATATTGTATTCTTAGTGGCTTTGTTTTAATCACTTGTGTGTACATATTCATTTAAACATAAAATGGTAGGCAGAGAAAAATAATGTACTACTGTATATATTTATATAGAATGACAATTGCTATGGATAGCTGCTGAAGTTACACTTAAGCAAGGCAAAAACAATACATGTGCATATATAAAAGGAATAGGCAGAAACCATTTTATAAGAAAAACTATTTTAAAAAAGTAAAATGTCACATTACTGTTTAAAGCCAATAAGACAGTAATAGATTAGGAAATCAGTGATCTAATATGTATTTATGTATACTTAACAGTAAAAAATTCTTTTTATAATGCCCATAGAATCAGTATTTATTCATTAATGTTTGTACTGTGCTGTGAAAATGCAGAGAGCTATATAAGTACTTCATTATATTTATTACATTCAGATGTGAAATAATTGACTAAGTCTTTTCTTAGTAGGGTGACCAGATGTCCCGATTTTATAGGGACAGTCCCGATTTTTGGGTCTATTTTTTATATAGCCTCCTATTACCCTCTACCCCTGTCCCGATTTTTCACACTTGCTGTCTGGTCACCCTATTTCTTAGTAACAGTTTTACATTCAGCAGAATGAAAGGGTTAAATAAAATTTAACAGGATTAATAAAGAAAAATGTACTGTATGTAGAATTTTCAAGGTACCATTTCACTTGCAATAGACAGGAACTGAAGGTGACAGCCTTGTTTCAGAAAACAAGTAGTCAGCACCAATTCAGCAGTGTTAGCAGTTCTCCATGTTGGATATGAGCCATTTTTAATTTGGACCCTGTGTATAAATGTTAGGTGCCTGAAACAGCATCCAACCGGGGAAGATATCTCTGTCTTTTTGCTTATAAAGGGATACTAGGCACGGCTTCTCTTTGTCATCAATATTATTTATCTTATCAACTCTGAGTACCAGCTGCTTCTCATCTTTTATGGAAGAATAGATTTCAGATCTGGCCACACTGAGTCTCCTCTCTTCTGCTTTTTTTTGAAACCACAGTAAGAAACAATACATGTCTGAATACTGATTACATACTTAATGATCCTGATCCTGAGTCGTCCTGTTGACTATATTTGGAACAGGATTAGGCCCTGAATAGTATTCACAACAGATTTTCCATTAGTAAGCTTCCAGTGTGTGGAAACTGTCAGTTTGATCATATCAAAACTGCATATGATTTACTTCTGATAGCCTAAGCTCTGTTACTGTCTGTACCTGTTGTGTCTGCTAGCTTGTCACCAGACAGTGGAATGGGTTTGACCAATTAGCACATTTGGTGTTTAGACTTGTTTTGTGCTAAGACCCAAAGAGCAATTGTAGAACCAAATGTTAGTACTTTTGAGGTCAATTGACTTAATCAGGACCAGTGTTTGATCCACTGTGCATGGCCAGGAAGTCTGTCAGGTGAGCCAAATGAAAGACCTTCTCTGACCAAGTCAGTAGGAGCTGTGCGGGCTCTGTCTCAGCTGGAAGTTGCTCTTTATATATCATACAGAACTTTATTATTCTTTGCAACTGTTGAAACTCCCATGCTGTCAGGTGGTGGGGTCAAGGTACACAATGGAGGGCATAATTTCTCAACCAGGGGGTCATGACCATATGGCTAGATCAGTGGTTCCCAAACTTTAACAACCTGTGAACCCCTTTCATTAAAATGTCAAGTCTCGTGAACCTTCTCCTAAAAATGAATATTTCTAGGGATTTTCTCCTTTACCTGAGTATAAATTATAAAAGCAGTGATCTTGGAAATATAAAATTTGTTTTTATGACATGCTTATTACACACTATTTATTATTAATTATTTATCATTACAGTATTTTTATTACATTATGAAAACGGCAACACTCTTCCAAGATCTCACTTTTGTAGCTTGTAACACTTTGAATAAGCCTGTTATAAGACAAGGATCCTATGTTTCATCAAGGAGTATCAGATGTGAAACAGCATGAAGGTATTTAAGAGGCCAACTCAAAGAGTTCCTCCTACACAAGCATTCAGGTCTTGAGCAGTCCAGGCAAACAACACATGTTACAACAAAGCTTAAATTTGTTCTTCATAATACTTTTAAAAACAACACTAGCTGCCTATTTAATTTTAATAACAGCAAAAAATATCCACCTCCCCTTTCCATTTCTTATAAGGAGTCTTGAAGTTTAAATCTCCTCAGTGTGATAGATATGCTTGCTTTGATCTGTTTAGCTCTTGGAAGTCTAGGGGCTCTGGGCTGCTGGGCCTGTGCTGCCCGGGGTCCCTAGGGACAGCTCTGGCCGCCATTAGGGAATTTTTTCTCAAGAACCCCCTGTAACATTTCATGAACCCTCAGGGGTTCACGAACCCCAGTTTGGGAACCACTAGGCTAGATGGATGAGGGGGTTCCGAAACCATGGGATGGGAATTAAAAGCCGTTTTTGTGATATAATATGGAGTCACGATTAAGGCTAAGATTTTGTCATGGATATTTTTAGTAAAAATCAGGGACAGGTCCTGGGCAATAAAGAAAAATTAACAGAAGCTGTGACCTATCCCTCACTTTTACTAAAAATATCTGTGACAAAATGGGGATCTGTGGGTCCACACGCTGCCAGTAGCTGCATGGCAGCTAGTAGCTCCGGGGGCCCCTACCGCAAGTTGAGTGTCAGGGCTCCAGGGTCCTCTGTGGCCTGCAGCAGATGGGGGTTGTGGGGTACCCCTGCTGCCCACAGCTCTGGGGATCCCCCTGTCAGGTGCAGTGTCCGGGAGCTGTGGGGGCCCCATGCCTCCTGCAACAGCTGGGAGCTGCGGAGTACCCCCGCAGCTCTGGGGGCCCACGGTGGCCGGGAGCTCGGGGGTTCCCCTGCTTCCCATGGCGTCCGGGAGCTGAAGGGTACCCCCACCACCTGTGGCGACTTGGAGCTCCGGGGTTCCCCCTCAGCTCCCTGTCCCCACGGGTGGCGGGGGACCCTGCAGCTCCCGACCTCCGCAGGCTGAAATCATGGAGGTTGCTGGAAGTCATGGATTCCGTGGCTTCCGCGACCTCCATGACTAAATCGTAACCTTAGTCATGATATGGAAAAATTTGAGAACCACTGATGTAGGGCTTATAGGAAAATCAATTTCAATAACCAAAAGAAGGAACTACAGAAAGTCAGCTGAATACTACTAACCAGATCCTGGGTTCAGCTGAACTGCATACAGCAAAGGTCAGGGTGAATGTATGGGCTAAACTAGCATAAAGCTCATGTTTTTACTGCTCAGATTCAGGGCTGCTGCGTGCCCTTAATGCTAGAACAGTTTGCGTTCAGTGGGGTTGCACAAGTGAAAATGATTGATTCAATAAATGAAACTTAGTAATGAAGTCTGTGGATAACGCACAAGAATATTAGACTCCAGTGCACTATTTTCATAGTTGTTTTTGCTCTGCAGTGCTAACAGGAGTAAAAAGCAGTAAAATCTTATTTCAGTTATATCAGCAGGTTTGACTGAAATCCACGTACAGATCAGATCCGTTGCAATTATTGTAGTCACTTTTCAAAATAGAACTTCACTTTAAGGAAACATCAT